GTTCTTTGTTGAGCTGGTCGGACATTATTCTCTCAATATGAGCGACGTAGGACCCGGTGGGACCCGAGAGCTGCAGAGAGACGCTTTCAGGAAATCTCATCCTTCCCGAGGAGTGCGGCAGTTTCTTCAGCTCTTCATGGACACGCAGATGTTTGCTGGTTTCATTCATGACCGAGAGCTCAGAAAGGGAGGGGTTAAAGGTGAGAGAAGGAATATTCCTGGTTAAAGTTGTCATTTTTAGGATGACCTGTTCCTTTAAGTAATGAGAGGAAAATGTGGTTGTCGTTTAACAGGGTTGTTTGAAGTGAGAGCTGCAGATTATTTGGATTCATATCCTGAACCTGAACCCAGTGGAGTCAATAAATTTCTCAAGGGGCTTGGTAAATCTTTTTCTGCTTTTCCATTTGTCTTGAATAAAAAGATGAAGACAGACTTATTTTTTGTTTTGTTTTTTACTCACAAAAATGTTTGTTTGCAGGGAATAAAATGAAATTTCTGCAGAAGAAATAGAGAACGGTGTCAGACGCCAAGCATGAGCGGCCACGTTTTTTTTCTTCTTCTTCAAAAGCATGTGATGACTCAACCAGCATGTCAGTTCCTCTCCCGTAGCGAACACTCGAGGGTGGAGATGAGGTCAAGACTGCAATCAGCTTGTTCTGCCCTGAAAATTCTCCGGCTGCGATTTGCCGCCCTGTCACAAAAGAGGAAAAGACTGGAAATGAGTTTATAAGCACAAGGAACAAAGACAACTGAATTAGAACAAAGAGGAAAGGGAGGAGTCTCTCGTGTTATTGTCATTTTGATAGATAAGGAAAAAACTGACTATGAATGCATAATAACAAGGTTTGGGTTAATGTCCATTTCAGATGTCTTACATGATTTTGTCTTTAATGTATTTTTTATTAAGCCAGACAATAAGGTAAGATTAAGTTTTAACCTTAAACCTTTTCCAACTGGAAACTTAGTTTAAAAGAAAATATGATGAAGGATATTCCCCTTTAATAATTAATTTATGATTCTTCATATGTACAGAAATGTCAAACATTTATTTTTTTGACACATTTGCTTTTTGCGAAATATCAATGCAGATGTGTCATTTTATCAGAGGCTTTTACATTTTGTACAGTTTTTTTCATTGAGTTTTTTTCTTTTCTTTTGTAGACAAACTAAACTTTTTGTAACGTTTGAAAATAAAAACATCTTTTAGATGCAGAGGTGGGCAGGCAGTGTGAATCAAACAATGTGATCTTATTGGGGAAATTAGAAATTTGAATGAATGTCCAGCGAATGAGAAAATCAAGAATGCATTGGTTTAAAATATATATATAAACTTATAATGAAAGTGCAGTGTATTATTAAAACTAGCCGTTATGTGAATTTGGGGTGCTACAAACTAATAGTTTCAGCCATTTGTCTTTGACATTACATGACTGCATTTGTTAGTTTTGATTACTTTTCTATTATTGTTTATCCCTTTCATGCATAGAGGTTACTACAGTGGACAGCTATTCAAAAAGCAATTTCTTGCTTATGCATGGTTTTTGATTGCATAGTTGCACATCAACCCAAGTGTCAACCAAGACGGTAGACACTAGTAGTGCATCATCTTATACACTGCCATCAAGTGGCAAGCAGTTGTATGTGGATTTTTTTCTCCAAAACCAAGATGGCGCCCGAATATCCATCCATTCCTTCTATACTATGCTTCTATACTAGGAGACTCTTGCTGGTAAAAAAAAAAAGTATAACACAAAGTAACATCTCTAAGGAGTCATATCATGGTTAAATTTTCCAAGTATTCATTTTAGTATGGGATGAAATTCTGATTAATCATCTCTCCACTAAATTGGACATCATGCATCACTAGCTATAATTCAGCTACAATTCATACTGTTGTTCTTGGAAATTCTTCATCTGCAGTAACATTTTTGGTTGTAAATAAATGTATTGGTGTAATTAGAAGGTATTAAGCAGTTACATTAAACATTGCGTTTACTCATTACATCAAAAGTAGTCTGATTACGCAATGCATGCTAGTTGTAATGTGTTACTTTACTCGTTACATCAAAAAAGTAATTTGATTACGTAATGTAACCCCCCCTCCCCCAGTCTGAAACCAAATAGTTCAATCTAGATTTCTGTATGAGGTTTTCTCAGAGAGGAGAGCTATAGAAATTTGGCCATTTTTATCAATAAGAGAATTATCAGCTAGCTAAGTGCGGTAGAGGGGAGCGAGCGTTTTCTACAAGACTGAGTTGGGTTTCCACAGAGTTGTTCCTCCACCGGATCTTTAATGGAATCACATCCTCATGTTCTGATATCAAAGACATGCAATGTTCAACTTGTATGAAGTTCTTCTCCGTCTGCTGGTCGAACAGGAACATTGAAGCTGTATTATATTTTTTGTATGCATTTTATAGTTTGCACATGATTTTATATCATTTTATACGTTGGTTTGATAAATGCACACAGTATTACTGTGTTACTACTGTATTATGTAAATACAGTAGGCCTATTTCTTCAGTTAAAACCAAAAACGCATAAGTGGACATCTGAAAATCTCTGTAAAATATATAAACAATTCAGATCTTGTTTTTCATGCCCTAAGAGCAATAAAAAGACTTAGGAAAAAATCCTGACTAAGGTTGTCGAATTTTTATTTATTTATTATTGTTATTATTATTTATTTATTAGTATAGGGACCATGTACAATTTAAAACACATATGTTACCATTTGATGCATTGTACCAGAGTTAGCCATAGGCTAATTTACATCTGCAGTCCCATGGCAGGGTACAATAAAAAATAAAACATACAAATAACACTCCCCCACCCCCTACACACACATACACAAAACACATTTTGTCAGCACCACATCAGTGTCAGTGGGCACAGATTTGAGTGGTCTTCAGAAAAGATTTCAGTTGTGATTTAAAACTCTTAATGGAACGGCAGCTCTTTATGTCATCTGTTATTGCATTCCGCTGTGGCTTTAAAAGAAAAAGCAGATTGTCAAAAGGTTGAACGGCAAAAGGGTATTTTACAGTCAAAAATAGAAGCTATTCTGGTAGATTTTACAGAAATTGCAGGGCGATTGCAAACAAAAACCAGTAAACAAGTTTGAAAAGAGTCTAAAATTTCCAAAACTCTAAATTGTGTTTCTCTTGGAACTTGCAATGGTGGTACCGAAATGGCTTTTTATCAAGGATTTTTATAGCTGGCTTATATAAGGATTCTAGAGGTCTAATGGCAGATTCACTGGCCTGTTCCCAACAGGTGATACAGTATGAAATATGTGAAAAATTTAAAGCATGCATAAATATTTTGGTTATAGGGAGGGATGATCTAACCTGTTTGCCAAGTTATATTTTATAGTTTTTGTCATTTTCTTGATGTGTTTCTTGAAGTTAAGATTCGAATCTAAAATGATACCAAGATATTTAAATTCAGTAACATCAATTGATTAATTTTTAGTAAAGATGTCTGCAGTTACAAAAGAACATACCTTTTGTCTTGCTAATCTTGACAAGATTGTTCAAGCCATTCAACAACACCTTGCATGGCATAAGTTAATTTCTCAGCTGCTAGCTGAGCGTTTTTTGCATGTGTGTACAGAACAGTGTCATATAACTGTATATCACTCTGTGACAGTGTTGTGGAAGATCATATAAAGACTAAAAAGTAAAGGCCTCTAACACAGATCCTTGAGGCACGCCCATTGTGTTCATATAACTGGAGCATGCATCTTTAATTCTAACACGCATGCGTCCCATTTTGACAAGTAAGAGCCATGCTAGTGTTTGTGCTGAAAAATTTAATTTAGAAAGCTTGGAAATAAGGACATCATGATTCACTGTATCAAAGGCTTTACGCAAGTCCAAGAATACAGCGGCAACAACTCCTCCCTTATCAAGTTGTGTTCTTACTTTTTCTGTGAAGTATAAAATGGCTGTTTCTGTGCAATAGTTCTTCCTGAAGCCAAATTGCATGTAATTTAAGGCAGGTATTGCAGTTATTAAGATGTGTTGTCAGCTGCTCTATGATATTTTCTCCATAAGCTTTGACAGTACTGGTAATAGGCTACTTATCGGTAGTTACTTGCTTCATAGCGGTCTCCAGATTTGAAGGTGAGATAACTGCAAGCTTCCAGTTATCAGAAAGAAGCTGTGTGTAATTGAAAGATTAATTAAATGTGTGATTGGGGGAGTTAAAGTCTCTAAATGTTTCTTAACTAACGTACTATCCATGTTAAAAGCATCTCTACTTTTAGAATTCTTTAAAGAACAGATAGATCTTTTTAACTTGTCCTTAATTAGTTGTCACCAAATTGAAACCCTGACCTTTATTAGTATGTAAGTTCTCTTTTTTTGAAGTGATTCCCTAGCTCATGGACTGACTCAATAAAAAAAGAATTATAAATAGAGGCAATTGCAACATTTTCTTCAATTTTCTTACCCTGAAATCTGAGATATATCTCCTGTGTGAATTTGTTCTCGCCCTATAAGGTTATTAATATTTTTTACAGATTTCTTTATTATTACCTTTAGCCTCATTTATTACTTGAAGATAAAAACGTGATTTGGCTAATCTCAATTCCTTAACCACTTTATTCCTCAAACCTTTATAAATTAAAATATCTGTATCTCTTCTAGACTTAATAGCTTTCTTTAAAGCTGAGTCTTTACACTTCATCATTTGCCACAAGTTGTCACTAAACCAAGGTAGATTAACTCTCTTTCATGTGTTTTCTCTTGACTTTAACAATAAACTTATTTCTAACAGATTCAATTTTTGTTGTAAATAAGTCACAACCATGTTCCACATCTTCTGTTGACAAAATATCATCCGAGACCAAACCATTGATCTCACTGTCAAATGCAGGTTGTTTACTATGAATGCATGAATGGGTTAAACATAAAATAATAATAACACATAGCAGTTGCGTCAAACTTCCGAAGTATATCCTCCGGTACACAACGGGGCGCTGATGTTCATAAGCCATTCCATCCAATCATAATAGAAGCAGAGCGCGAAGCGTGTGTTTGTAAAGTAAAGGATGGCAGGACCGGCTTCAGTCGCTGGTGATGTTTTTGTTGATGCTCTGCCGTATTTCGACCAGGGTTATGATGCTCCAGGGGTCAGAGAAGCCGTAAGTATACTGAATATTTACTTTCGTTCGTTCTGTCTATTTAAAACGACGATAAATAATAAGTATTTGACCTGCTGGCACAAGTCGGATAGCTAACGGCTGCGTCTAACTAACGCTACTTCTGGTTTTTAAATGAGACAGTTTAGCTGTGTAAACTTTTATTTTTCGGGGTTACGTATGCTATAGAATTACATTTATCTTTTTTATGGGGGATATTAATCGGTTTTGATCAATTTAAGGCAGCTGCTTTGGTGGAAGAAGAGACAAGACGATACAGACCAACCAAGAACTATTTGAGTTACCTGCCCACACCAGATTTCTCTGCCTTTGAGGTACAAGAAAAAGACCCTTTCTGCTTCTATTTTGCCATAATCTACATGTTAACACCATAATTTTAGTGTTGTGTTGTTCTCATTAGACGGAGATCATAAGGAATGAGTTTGAAAGACTGGCTGCTCGTCAACCCATGGAGCTGCTCAGTATGAAGAGGTAAGTTTACTGGGCAAAACTTCTGTTTCAGGTCGTCAACTGTTGTCTTTTTGTGTCCTTCTTAAAGAGATAGTTCACCCAAAAAATTATTACTCGCCCTCATGTCGTTCCAAACCCGAAAGACTTTCGTTCATCTTCGGAACACAAATGAAGATCTTTTTGATGAAATCTGAGAGATGTTTGTCCCTTCATAGACCGCGTGCTACGCAACTACCAATGTGATGCTTCAAAAAGTTCATAAAGCAATCTTACAACTAATCCATATGAATTGAGCAGTTTAGTCCAAAATTTTATGAAGATACACGATCGCTTTATATGATGAAAAAATTTAATTTAGGCTTTTATTCACATATAAACAATAATCAACAGACACATTAGATCTGATAAGCGAAAGCTCACACTTGTTCGCTTGATGTGCAAGAACCAATGAGGTTATTTCTTGTGTTACGCAGCACGTTTGAGCTTCTGCGAGAACCAATGAGGTTATTTCTCGTGTTACGCAGCACGTTTGAGCTTCTGCGAGAACCAATGAGGTTATTTCTCGTGTTACGCAGCACGTTTGAGCTTCTGCGAGAACCAATGAGGTTATTTCTCGTGTTACGCAGCACGTTTGAGCTTCTGCGAGAACCAATGAGGTTATTTCTCGTGTTACGCAGCACGTTTGAGCTTCTGCGAGAACCAATGAGGTTAATTCTTGTTACGCAGAACGTTTGAGCTTCTGTAAGAGGTTTGTTCTTGCGCATCTAGCATGTTCGGTTGAGCTTCTGTTTATGTCTGCTGATCAATGTGGATAAAAGGCGAATTAATTTAATCTGTTCTTCATTTAAATCGATCGAGTCTCTTCAGAACATTTGGACAAAACTCATATGAATTAGTTTTATGATCTTTTATGAACTTTTTGGGAGGAGAAACTGCAGTAAAATTGAAAGATTGTAACAGATCTGGAAGTGATTCTTTTCTTACCCCAACAGTTTCATTATAAAAGTTTATTGTTAATAGCCAATTTACCAGTGAAATATTACACTATTCATTATCCTGCTATTGTGATCTATTGCACACACATGTAAATAATGAAACTAGCTTCATTGTTGACAGCATACAAGTGCAGTGCAGATAGTTTCGAGTTCCCATTCAGTAAAGTGCTCATCCAAATATTCTTAAAAGTGGCGCTTGCTGTTAGATCTTACATGCGTGTGCTTGTCTTCCTAGATATGAGCTTCCTGCTCCATCGTCTGGGCAGAAGAATGACATCACAGCATGGCAGGAGAGTGTCAACAACTCCATGGCCCAGCTGGAGCACCAGGCAGTGCGCATTGAGAACCTTGAGCTCATGGCCCAGTATGGAACTAATGCATGGAAGGTGTCTAATGAGTAAGTAGAGAGCATTGAGTCAGTCTATTCAAGATGTGAGTCTTTATCAGAAATCTGTGAAGGAATATGATAAATTCTTTGTAGAGAGCATTGAGTCAGTCTATTCAAGATGTGAGTGTTTATCAGAAATCTGGGAGGGAATATGATAAATTCTTTGTTTGACGACCTGTCAAAAAAATTGTCTGCAGTCTGCACAGTTTGACATGTTTCATTGAGTTATCACAAATAACACAATCGACTCCAAGTACAACTTTGCAATATGCTTACAAAATCTTTAACAAATGTCTAATCATATTTGAATAAAGGGTGAAGATGTACATTTTCCTAGGTTGGACATCACTTTTGGCCACTACTATACATCTGTGTTATATTGTTTAAGGAGTTAAAGTCAGTTTTGAATACTATTTGCAGGCTCTAGACTTTAAAAAAAAAAGCCATTTAATTATTTTCTGGTACTATTTATTATTAGAAACTGAAAGCACTTGTGAGGTTTATTTGTGCATTTGCTGGATTTAATGTCCATCATAATTGTTTGTTCTCTCTGTGAAACAGTAACTTGGCCTTAATGATTGAAAATGCACAAAAGGAACTGCAGAAGGTTAGGTAAGTTGTAGGTCAAACAATTTACTTTACCTTGTGGTTGTGCACAAACTATTTAATTAGCATTTAAAATTAATCTTAGGCCCGATTTACACCGGGTATTAAGATGCATTTTGGTCGATCAGATCACAAGTGGACAATGCTAAATACAAGTGTAAACATTTTGTGCTTGTCCACTTTTGACCACTTCCAGAGGTAGTCGAAAACTCATCTGACCGGATTGGTTTCACTAAGAACAGTCAAAACAGCCACAAAAGGCCACCTACTGACCAAATGCATAAACAATATTGGAAGTGTGCTAGCCTGACGGGATTTCAACTGACGGCTGAAGGCCCAAGTTTGGTTTGAAGATGAAAAACATACCAAGCACAATGTTCTCTCACCATTCCTGATTTCTAACATGCAGTCGCCGCATTCGGATTAGTCTTATGGCTATCAGAGCATGTTTTCCAGTCACGTTCATATGTGAATTGCAGAAGCTTATTTTGTCAATTAGATCGAAAGATCTGGAAAAGCCAATACATTTACCTGGCTGCCCATAGACCCTCCCCTTGAAGAAATCAGGACTGAAGTGGTTGTAAGTGGACAACAGAGACAGATTAAAATACTAAGTGTAAATGGGAATGTGTGTCCATCTACTAGTGATCCAATCGACCAAAACGCATCTTATTACCAGGTGTAAATGGGGCCTTAATATGAAGCTGTTGCCCATTAACAGGTTTATAGTAATTTCCCCCCCAATGTGCTTCTGTTCTCATTCCAGAAAGCAGATTCAGGATCTGAACTGGCAGCGCAAAAATGACCAGCTGGCTGGAGGAGCAAAACTGCGGGAACTTGAGTCAAAGTCAGTACTTCATTTATGTTCTTTCTTATATGAAAACCATTTGCAAAATATTTTGAGCATATCTAAATGCATTTAGTTCTGCTTGTATTTCTGCAGCTGGGTGTCCCTCGTTAGTAAGAACTATGAGATTGAGCGAGCCATCGTTCAGCTGGAGAATGAAGTGGCACAGATGAAACAGCAACAGGGCGATGAGAACAAAGAGAATATTCGACAGGACTTTTAAAAGATGAAAACAGTTTAACAGCATCTTGAAACTGTGCAGACTTTGCAAAAGCAAATGATCACCAAAGTGTGACATTGTTTTTTAATGATCACTATCACTATGTTCGTTTTCCTGATGAACAGGGGAAATAGTCTTTATAAAACACAAATGAGCAATAGTGTTGTGGTCCAAACAGGCTCTGCTGGTGTGTAGTTCATGATTTTGCACCAAAAGCAACTCACATTTGTGTTCACTATATACATAAAAATAGTTTTGCAATGCTCATGTGGCTGTATTGTCATTTATAATCTTTTTTTTTGTGTCTTATGTTTGACTACCTGACGGACATTTAGTTCATCTTAATTGTCATGTTCTACTCTATTTGTAATATCTTTTTTTAAATACTCAATAAAATGCTGAAATAATGACTTGGATTGCTCATTTTCTCAGTTAACAAAAGTCCTCGGGCTAAACTGCACACATTTGGTCTTGGTTTTGTCACTTTTCATCCTGTCTCATGTCATTCAAACAAATAAACTGTAGAAGTAGTTGTAGGGACCTGTATTGGACAGAATGTAGTATAGTTAGAAAATTATTCCATTTGGTGAAGTTTGGCTTATCTTTTGCTTTACCTTGTACATTTAACTTTTGTTTTGAGTTATTTAAATTTGTTCAAAGTAACTGTTGTAAACTTTTTTACATTCCACCGCTGTTGTTTACTTGCAATTAGTGGTCTGTTTGTGGGTCTTGAGGTATTTGTAATGTCTTGCTTAATTGGGTGTTTTTTTCTTTGATCTTTTGCCAAAATACTGCACACTGCTTATTAGCTTGACATAAAAAAAGAATTTACTCTAAAGTGATTAAAATGCAACTTGGTTGGTTACTCACTGCCCCATCACGCAATATCATTGTTACGCTTGGGACAATAATATTTTAATACTCCATGTTTTTTCAGAATCTACAAAACTACTTGACTAGCTCATGAGCAAAGCCCCCAGCTGCTAAATCAAATTTACATCAACATCAAATTAAACTTTCAATTCTAATGTAGCCTATTAAAGTGATATTTCACCCAAAAATGAAATTCTGTCATTTACTCACCCTTGTTTCAAACCTGTATGAACTTCTTTCTTCTGCTGAACACAAAAGAAGATATTTTGAAGAATATGGGTAATCATGGGGGAAGAATACTATGGAAGTCAGTGGGGCCCATCAACCGTTTGATCACCGACATTCTTCAAAATATCATCTTTTGTGTTAAGCAGAGGAAAGAAATTCATACAGGTTTGGAATGACTTGGGGGTGAGACGGTGAGTAAATTAAAGAATTTTCATTTTTTTTGGGTGAACTGTCCCTTTAGGAAGACAAAGTATTGATCTTTTGTATGTGTTTGTCTGTGACTTGTGATTTATTATTTAGCATGAAAATGAATGCATATAATGAGCTTTAAATAAATAATTAGTTCGCAGATAGTTCTTAATTTTCCGTACACTTATTTTTTTTTAATCTGCAAAATAGGTGATTCAAGATATCTGCCTATGATCTGCCCCCATGAGGCGACACCATAGACCCGCACCATGTAAAATAGAAGAGCGTTATTCGGTAACTAACGTCGAATCTGAATGATCGAGTAAATAAATATACATTTCTCAAAAGTAGGCTACTATTTAATTATTTATGTGTAACACTTTTTAACGACCGAGTGCAGCTTTAAAACGTACAAAAATAGTGAAAGACGCAATTAATCGCCCACAAACAGCTCACTTTCGAAAGAGAGCAAAGAAATAGAAAGAGAAATAAAAATATTTTAAGTAGGCTACCCATGACACCATCCCAAAACGTTCTATTTAATAGAGGAATCAATACTACCGATGATATTGTTTTTATTGATTTTCAGAATAAAGCAATTGCATAGCATACGTTTTACATAACTTGTACTAAAAAGTAACAATTAATACAAAATAAAAATACAGGTACAGAATATGGATCCATACAGAATATGGATTTATAACGACATTTATAAAAACATTTGCTTTCTATTTTAAAAATAAAAATGATTTTATTGTAATTACAATGTAAATTTATGTATATAAAATGAATTGACGGCAAATTCAACTTTATAATATGTTTTCATTAATGGATTCTATTTGCTTATTCTCTGTCATAGATCTCTGTGACGAACATGAGAGCGACGGCATGACGTCAAACAAATCGGATTTTCTGAGCGCGTCGAACGTCAGGCGGTTCAAAGAGGAGCAAAGATGGCGGACAACAAAGGCCAAGATTGTACGGAGAGCTCCGCAAATATGGAGGTAGAGGCTTCGGGAACAGAAGATAACGGAGATGGCGGAGCGAAGGAGCCTGTTAGTGTAATTTTAATCGAGGCAGAACCGAAAGAAGGAACAGACGAGCTCAAGTCTCAAGAGACCGTTCCCGAAGCGCTGACGACATCCAGCGACGGCGGAGCTAGCGTTACAGACGAGACACCAAATGCCGAGAGCACTGAACCGCCTCCGCCGCCGTCGTCGTCGTCCTCCTCGTCCTCCTCAGCGGACAGCACCGCTGCTGGTCCATCACCCGCTCTCATTAACGAGATGTCGCCTCCTCCAGCAGCAACAGCAGCAGCAGCATCCTCCTCTTCAATCCCTGCCGCCCCGATAAACCTACTGGATACGTGTGCTGTGTGTAAACAGAGTCTCCAGAACCGTGACTGTGAACCCAAACTCCTTCCCTGCCTGCACTCCTTCTGCCTCAAGTGCATCCCGCAGCCGGAACGGAAGATCACCGTCCCGGTGCAAGGCCCCCATGGACAGGACACTCGTATTGGTAAGTTAGGAAAAGGGAAGTGAGCTTTTTCAGTTCTGTCCCAACAATCCAGAAACTATCCATTGCTTATCTGTTTAACGTTACACATGATGGCATGTGCAGTCATGTACATGTGTGATCATCAGCTGGTGTTTAACTCATGCAGTTATGGTTATACCGACTGTTACATAGTATTTTAATAACGAGTAACGTTAACTCTCAGAACGTATTTACTCTAAGTACGACTCAGTAAGTCATGTGAAGTTAGTTAAATATCAGAGCGTTAGGGTTTTTTTTAATTTTTTTGGGATTGCCAGATACCCCCAAATATGTGCAAGGCACTCCTGTCCTAAAATTTATATACTTGTATGCGCAAAAAACAAATATACGGTGTAAAAATGTATATGAATACATGTGTAAAATATTATTTAGAAAATATTTATTTTCTATTAATTAAATTTCGTTTTTTTCTGCTCTCCACAATTCTATACTGTTAAATGTTTGTTTATTCATTTATCGATCTATTCATTAATTGTTTATTTAATCTTCATTTTTATTTGTTTAAGTTATTTTTTACAATATATACTACATAGCAAATTGCAATTGCATAATTGTTTATTTTGTTCCTCTCTCTCTCTCTCTCTCTCTGTGTATATATATATAAATACACACACACACACACACACACACACACACACACACACACACACACACACACACAAGTACATACTACATACATGCAAGTATATCCAACTCTATTCACGTAGTATACTCATGTAAAGCACTATATAGAAAACCTCATCTCTGTGATTGTTTATATCATCGAAAAATATTATTGTCCAGTGCAAATTTGCTAAATGCAACTGCAAGGCATGAAGATATTACTAACATTAACATCATAATTGTCTGTAAAGCTGCTTTAAAACAATGTATTGTGAAAAGTGCTATACTGATAAAATTTACTTGACCTTACCCTTTGTGACCCATTTTAAAAACCCCTGCACTAACCAGTCTTTACTAGCTAATGATGGATTTTCTAACGAGCTAACCTTTTAAAACAGTCAGCCTCGCCTAATTTTGTATTTTGATTCAAGTTATATTGAATGTATAGATGTTGCAGCCTCATGCACACTGTCCGAGTGATGCGCTCCTTTTTATGCTCTGAGGACAAACTCAAATATTTGCTGATCCAGTTTTTCAGACTACCGGTAGTCCTGATATTTTGACACATCATTGTCTATGTATTGATGATCAGATTCAGTGCTGTCACTATATTTGTGCCGTAGGAGCCACCAGTGAACTAATGTGGTGGTCAAATACAAGGTAACTAGGATTAACCAAATGCTGCATTTTCTGCTGATAAACCAGACAAGAAGTGCTGCTGTGATGATTGGTTTGTTTTAATTATATATGTTTAGTTTTATCTCTTGAATGTCATTATTGGTGCAGTGGAGATATGAGAATATTTTGGTCAATGCACTTGCTTTGCCATTGAGTCAGTGCATTGAGTGCAGTCAGTGTATTATCATTTCATTGTGCTTACGTTTCTTGTAATAAGTTAGCACCATGCATTGTAGTTAATAATGTATGAACTAGATTCAGCATTGCAGCCTGTAAAGCTATTTTAATTTTTTTGTGTGGTTCTGGTTATCATCCATATCAGCGATCACTGATGCAAATTTACAAGCCCAAAGGCTGTAATTTCTCTTTAAATCTCTTCACTTGTCTAAGACTCTTCACTGTTATTGCAGAATGCCATCAGATCAATATTCTCATATTAGATCAGTGCGCATTATACTGCAGAATATTTTGCCAGGCTATCAGATTTAAAAGTTAATTCCACTGACCACAAGTATAAAAATTGAAGCCAGGTTTCAGTGTAGTTATATAAATATGTACAAAATTAATTTTTGCATTGTTAGGTTTGTTGAATAGCGTACACTTTGGTGTCACATTCCTTTTTTTGATGCATTATAGGCATGACTCCTATGTTTTTCTTAGTGAGAAGAAGTTGAACCGAGAATGATTAGACATGGTAAACTAAACTATTATCTAACTTAAGATTCCCAATTCAGAAGTCTTTACTTTCTCGAATGTATCCAAAAATCCTACAATGTCAGAAAGAATTTGGAATTGATATGCAATTAATTGGTTTTATTTATTAACCAAACCAAGCAAAATTTGTATTCATTAATTAAACAAAAACAAGAAAATAAGACGAGTAAATAATCTCTGTTTTTGCTCAGTAATTCAGCCATGTTTAAGTTATTGTATGTAAAATTATCAAAATAAATTCTGTAATTAACTTTGTGCATTTTTCTGTAAACTACTGAGTGTTAGTAATTTATAATTATTCTGCAACAATCATGTTATTTGCAACCCTTTTCCATAGCTTTTTTTATACATTTAATTTTGTTTTTTATTTAAA